CGACGTGATTCAGTGAGGAAATTCCACCAGGAACCTGCTAATTGACCGATGCTGCTAAGGAATGAGAAGCTTAGCCTTAAGAGATGAAAGCTAGCAAAAATGCTTTCAGTTTGAAGAATCTGTTTATAAATGGGGAGGTGTGGAAAGCATCTAGCTCTGCAGTGAGATAGACTTGGATTTCAGTCTCCACCCTCCAGCTCACTGACTGGGAGACTGGGGACAAGTTACCCAGCCCTCCAAGCCTCCCTGTCTCTAGCTATAAAACAGAGCTTCTACCCACTTCACAGATTCTCCGTGTCACATCGTGTCCTGCTCGCCCCACCCCCTGCTTTCTTTTCCTCCAGAGCACTTCCCACCTTCCATCCTTACATACGTTTGCTTACATACTTTGTCATCCTCCCTGACTGAAAGAGAAACTCTACACCAGCAGGGAGTCTGGTCTGATCCGTTCACTGCTGCATTCTTGACATCCCTGAAGCCTAGAGCCGCATCAGGCCCTGTAGTAGTTGCTCACTAAATATTTGTTGAACGGACGAGTAATTGAGTAAAAAGGACCGTGCTCGACATGCAGTGATGGGTGGCAGTGGCAGGGCTCTTACTAATTTCTGTGGGGAGAAAAGCCATTGCCAGACCATCTTCAGAGTCGGCACCGCTGTTCTCAGGGCCGAGTGCCCTTTGAGGCCAAAATTCCTGTTGCACTCTCCCCCTTCTCCAAGGCTCTGCCGTTGTTTGAGAATGGGGGCCTGACCCTTGCCTGGGCTGGGGACAGTGGAGTCACACATTTAGAGAAACCGAGTGGAGGAGAATCGGCAGCAGGATTCCCAGGACTCCTGGAGCGTGCCAGAGAAACTGGAAGCAGAGGAAACCCCGCTCATCGAAACCCATCAGGACATCAAAGAGCTCTCGGGGCCCACAGCTGCAGAGAAGGTTCCCACAGCCTATGCCTCAAAGGCTCCAGTAGGTGGATGGTGGAGAGAAACTGTCTTCTCTAACCAGAACCCATGTCTGAAATCACAGCCAGCGAAGGCTCGGAAAGTGAAAGAGCAGTGAGTCTGACTCGCTTTATTAATCTGGGCATTTGCGATGGCAGTCAGGATGCTTACATCTTTCATCCTCCACGTGCCTCACACCAGGAACTCACAGACACCCGGGATGCAGCAGTGTGGGGCTGATTATAAAGAATGTGTTATTCTGATGGAAAAGACTTTTAAAGACTCCACCTCCCAATAGCCTGCCCATTGGACATGTTCTAGAAGGAAGTCTGGTATCAAAACATAAATCTAAACAGAAACCAAACTAGCAAACAGCAACGTGCATTAATGGGACCCTTTTATGTGTACCAAACCCAACATTCCCTCAACTCCTTGGCCCCAGGGTATTGTTCTTTGTTGTTACTGTTCTTTGTCTCCTTTTCATCTTTCGATACATCCTTCCAAGATTCTCGCAGCAGTGTACTTCAGAGCCCAGACTCTCTTATGGAAAGCATATGTCTTTGGGAACATACTGTCCCACTTGAAGTTCTGGAGCCAGTTGTATTTCTGTTCCAGGATCAAGTGAGAAACAGTTATTTGCAGGGTTGGAAGGAGCTTCAGGTTAGCTCCTCAGCCAGGAAAAATCACACTTGAAGCAAAGAGTTTCTAAAAGATCTCTAAGAAAAGAAGAGCATCTCCATTTAGCCTGTGGGTCTTCGTCATTCATCTGTCCATTTATTTTATTCATGCAACATTTGTGGAAAGTTTACCATGAGCAAGGTCTGTGCTCAAAGCCCAAAATGCCAAAATTCCAAGATAAATATGATCCATCTTTCCCCTCCGGTAGCTCGCACTCTAGGAGAGGAGATAAGCAGCAGTCCAATTTGACAAGGCCATGGCAGAGGTGTGGTCAGATTTGGGTCACGGGGCAGGAGTCGAGAGACAGGGAGAGACAATTTTTCAGAGGAGAGGATACTCTTTAAAGAGAATAAGAGGGAAGGAGGTAAAGAAGAGAAGGAGCGGGTCCTTAACTATTGAATAACTGTAGAGCCAGGGCACGGACAGAAGCCAAAGCACACCGGTGTGGTCCCAACCAATGCCTGTGGGCCACAGATCTTTCTTACTAGCGTGGAGAATCTCCAGGACTTAGAGAGAAGTGGAAAAAGCAAAGTATGATGTCGAGTATCAGAAGTCCAGGTGGGAGTTACCCTTGGTGAGGTTGTGACAAGAGTGGGGCACGAGAGGGACCCCAGGATGCCAGCTCTCTGTGTTTTGATGGCTTTGTTTACTTTGTGGAAGTAAATCAAACCGAACACTGTGATAAATGCAATTTTCAGTGCAAATGTTCAATCAAGCGTCATATGTTTACCAAAATGTTCAAAAAACCCCAAATACCACGCAGTCAGGCATGGCTCAAATTCTTGTGAAGGGCTCCAGCAAACAAACAGTGTGCATGGAAGATGGAAATAGAGACATGAAGCAAAGCCACACTGAAAGAGCCCTGTATGCTGAATGAAGGAGTTCGCACTTCATCCCCAAAGACTCATGGAGAGGGCAAGCACTGATGGAGCTGAGGGGTGTTTCAGAGCATGGCCCCTTGTGCCACAATTGAGTTACTGGGTATAAGCTTAAAATTCTCCACCTGTAAAATGCAGCCATGACTGTATTTGCCCCCAAAAGCTATTGAGGATTGAATGAGATAATGCACAGAAATGTTCAGTGGAGTGCTCACTAGAGTCAACAATAAATGTTTGCATTTTAGAAAGCTTCCTCAGGCAGGAGTGAGGAGGACAGATGGGGGACGGCCAAACTGGCATGGGGAGACAAACCAGAAGGCTGTGGCAGTAATCTAAGGAAGACAGAATGAGAGCCTGACCGGAATAGGGACAGTGGAAGTCAAGGAGAGATCCACAAATGTGAGGGGGTACAATTAAGATCTGGGAAATGGAAGAGAGCGAAGTCCAAGGTGACTGTCAGGTGTCTGGCTCGGGAGCACGTGAAGATGGTGAAGCTGTTAGAAAGTCAACATGAGGAATAGACTTGGCAAGATCATGCATCAGATTTGGAGCCTGTTGAGTTTAGGGGTCCTGGGAGACACCCAGGTGAGCAAGTCCACAGGAACTCAGTGGAGGTGTTCAAGCTAAGGAGATAGATTTGGGAAGGATGTCAAACCCTGTTGAAGGTGAATGAGTAGGTGAGATCCTTCAGGGGTGATGTAGTGAGTGAGAAGAGCCAGGGGCCAAAGATGGAGCCCAAAGTAACATGGACATATAAAGGGGCAGACCAAGAAAAGGAACCTGTGAAGAAATTTGAGAAGAAACAATCAGAAAAGGTAGAAGGAACAACCAACAGAGAGTGCTATTAGAGTAGCCCAGCAGGGTGTCATCAACTGTGACAGATGCCACAGAAATGACCCGTTAAACGAAGACAAAGTAGTGTTCATTGACTCCTGCATATGATGGCCATGGGGACTTTAGGGGAATAGTGGGACACAAGCAGGCTTGTCCTGGGTATGTATTACGTGACTTGGAAGAAAGCAGCCAACAAATGCAATCCAGGGGAAGGAGAGCTGCAGGGCAAGAAGCTCGGGGAGGGGGGCGGGGATGAGGAGTCAGTCTTTTCCTGAAGGTCAGAGTTTCCAGTATTCACCTGTTTTGGAAAAGGTTAGATCTCTCTCTTTCTTTCTCCCCTTCTCCCGTCCCCTCCCTGTCTCTTTCCTTCTCGCGCTCTCTCCCTTCCTTCCTTTTTTTCCATCCTGTGTTTCTTCTCCAGAAGCCAAAGAGTAACTTATATAACTGGAAACACGGAATGTGTTGCCTTTTTAAGTGTTTTTAAAATAAGATGTTGACCTGGGGGCTGTCTGTGCGGGAAGATGGTTTGGGAGTTAGTGTGAATGAGTGAGTACATTCCCCGCCTTTGTGGACCCTCCCTTCGCAGACTCAAAGCCTGTGTCTCCCGCCTTGGGCTGAGGCGGCCATGTTGGGAGCCGGGGGCATGCTTCCGGCAGTGATGTGATGCTGCTCCGTCCTGGCCGCTGCCCCCGCCCCCTGCCCGCCTCTTCCACCCAGTGGGTAACCATTTGCCTCTAGAACTTGGGTCACACCACTTCTCCTGCCCACTCCTCCCCAAACCTGCTCTGGCTTCCAGGTAGGGCTCAAAACATACTGTCTTCAGAAACTCCCTCTTGTGCCCATCAGTTAGTCACTGTGTGGGGCTCATTTTGCATTTCCTGAGAGGTCCTGTGAGTCATTCTCATTCTGGTATATAAGACTTTGCCTTATTGGTGAAATCATAAGGCATCAGGCTAATTCTCCACGACATCTAGTGGGCCATTCCATGTAGAGTAGGTGCCCAGCAAAGGTTGGCTCGCAGAAGGTAAGGGCATGAAGTCTGCGCTAGACGATAAGCTCCCAGGGCAGGTGCTGGGCTCGTGCATCTTTTTACCCCTTCAGCGCCAGCTCCCTAGCGCTCTGACCATCTATCCATTCCACAGAAACTTACTGAGCACCTGCCAGGTACCAGAAACGGCACTAGGTAAGCTGAGAATTCAGCAGTGAACCAGATCCCCGGTTCTAGAAGAGGAGACAGCCAATAAGGAAACAAACAAAGGAACAAGTCCAATAACCACAGGCTGTGGCAAGCTCTTTGAAGGAAGTTAACAGAGCTCTGTCATGAAGAAGGGGCATGTTTATGCTCAGACCTGAAGGCTGCTAAGGAGAGAATAAATAAGTTGCCCCTCAGCCTTCTCTTCCTATTTAATAGCCGCACGACCTTAACTTTTCCTTCAATAAAATATTCAAAGGGGTACAATAAGATGACATGGTATGGGCTTTCCTGGTCAGTGGGTTTACAGCCCACTAACACGTCCAATCCTTAATGAATCACCGTCTCTAAGCGTTGCATATGTCACCTGCACTAGGGGGGCGGCAGCCCTGGGGTCCCCATGGAGGGACAAGGGAGAAGGCGCCCAGCTGCGCGGCGTTCTGCCCCAACACCAGCCACTTGAGCCCATGGTGGTTTGTTTTGCAGGTGAGCCGGCCTCATCCCAGCGACCACCCTCTCCTGATCCTCTTCGTGGTGGGCGGGGTCACGGTCTCAGAAGCCAAGATGATCAAAGACCTTGTGCCGTCCCTGCAGCCAGGAACCCAGGTACTGAGGCCTCTGTGAACGGTGAAGGAGGGTCCTGAGGCACCAGTGGGAGGGTGACTGAGGGTCCTTCATCTGGCTTCCCAGCACCTCTCCCCGTCTCCATCCCACCTTTCTTCTCCCACCCACTCCTGCCCTGTCACATTCCCCCTCCACCTGCTCCCGGGTCAGCTGTCCTCCTGCTGCGGACACAGGGAGGAGAGCTGTCCCTTACGGTCCTCGCCTGCCTCCGGGCTTCAGGGGCTAAGCTGCTATTGTCCCTAGTCCCGATTCCTGAAGGGCATATATTCTCTTGTGTCCAGTCAGCTCTTAGATACTCACGAGTTGTTACTCAAGGCGCATCATCAAGACAATAACAGATGTAGCATCTGTCTCCTCTGTCGCCTCCTGCCAGTGCCCGTTCATCCCCTCGGAAGCAGCCTGGTGGTCAAGAACACACACCTCTCGATTGTATGGGTCTGTCCTTGAGTCTTACCTCTGTCATTTACTAGCCAGCTGATCTGGGAAAGCAAACCTTCCATTTTCTCCCGGAGGCAACAGGGCTAGGGGGGCTGTGAGTCTTGGATCAGGTAAGGGGAGAGCACATACTTCTAGCACTGTGCCTGCCCCATAGCTCTCGATAAATGGTGGCCACCCTCAGTATCAGCCGTTTCCGGGCAGTCAGCACCCTGCTCGGCGGTGGTGGTGGGGGGGGGTGGTGTTTAGCTGCTGACAGGAGGCAGCCGGAGCCCAAGGGGAGGGACTTCAGGAGAAGGAGAGCCCCTGCCCCTGGAAGTTCTAATCTGGCTGACGGCGCAGAGCTGGCAACTCAGTAAGACTTAAAGTCCTTGCCTGAGTGGGCTCCCCAAAACATGAGAGCAGGTGGCTTCCATGGGAGACGATCCCTAGAAGCAGAAGAAGCACGGGAATCTGAGAAGACAGACAGTCAAGAGAGAAAAGCCAGAAAAGAGTGCTTTGTTGCAGGCAGCCGGGGCTCTGTCCTCTGGGGGCCCGAGGAGCCCAGACGACATGCCCCCGGATTGTCCTGCCGGGAGTCAGGGAGTCTGACACATGTTCTCATTGACTCTCACCCCCCACCCCCATTTGAGACTTGCCTCTGAGGGCTTATCTTCAGCTTTAGCCCAGGGGGCCTCTGTCTCCTTAGGCGAAGTTCTGCCTGTCTTCGGCCTTCCACATCTCTGCTGGAATCCAAACTCCGCACTTGGCAGTGTGACCCTGAACTGCCTGCCCACTGCCTCCTATTCGCTGCCCCGTCTCCTCAAGCAGACATGGATTCCATTAGGACAAAGGCTGGGGCTCCCCACCCCTGAGCACATGGCAGGAGTTCTGGAAGCCTGGTCTGCTGGCTTGATTGGCTACAGAGCAGGCTTGATTGCCTGGTGAGGCAGAGAAGGCCTGGGTCCTGTGGTCTCCAGACACCCAGCCGAGGAACGGACCTGAGTATCTAGGCAGCTGCAGAAAGTTCTCGAACGGGGAATGAGCAGTCTTTGGCTATGACCATTTCTGCTCTTACTACCACCTGTCATGGCCCTAGCTGGTGAAATTTCTGACCAAGTGGTCAATTCTGCCTCATCTAACACCCTTTCAGCAGTGTCAAGGATCTGTTTAACAAGCAGTTGCCTTTTTGAGCAAGACTTTTTTTTAATCAGAAAGCACACTTCTCGCTGTCCTTAATGAGGTGACCAAATTCTTAGCTCTCCAGAACAGTGCTGCATTGTACCACCCCGACAGACGTGTTAATCCCCACTCTAGAAGGATACAATGCAGCCATTTTCAAAGCTGCGGGACCCGAGTTAGACAACACAGACCTGGGCTCTGCAGCGGCTTTGCGACAACCCAACCCTGTGCCCGGTCATCTACAGAGGGAGCTGCTCAGAGAATCTGGGACTTGAGGAGCAGCCGTGATTGCTATGTGTCCATGGTGCAAAAAGTTCCTCCGAAGAGCTAACGGGCCCCAGGAAGCCCCCAAAGGCAGTAGGGAAAAACAGCGGAGGAGTTATTGATCATGGTGCCCTTGATCTCCAAGCTTCTGAAAGGAGGGGGGTTACCCGGATGTTTGCTGGGGTGGTACCTGTGGAGGCAGATCTTCCTTTCTCAGACCCCAACAGACTCACTCGGCCCTGGGTGCACACCTACCTGTGCCCAAATCTGGGACGGGAGCAGCTACCTGCTTTTACACGTGCAGTGGAAGTCCGGCCTTGCTGCTCTAGCTGTCCACGAAACGGCTGCTCTAGCTGTCGTCCACGAAACGGCTGCTCTAGCTGTC